CACACCAAAAAAGAAGCCTAGGTCAGATGTTCCTTTATGCATCGTGAAAAGCACGTGGGAGACTATCACCAAGGCATCTGACAACATTGCACGACTCAATGAGAAACATGCCAGCTCAAGGAGAAAAGATTTGATTTYAGCCAGCTTTGCAGCAAACTTGAATAAAAAATAAAACTATATAACTATCGGTTTGTTAACAGCTCACCTCAACACTCCACAGCCCCAGCTCCCATTATAAGTTTTACTAAGATCTGGCTGAGGAAATGAGACTCACACAGTGTCCTGAATCTCACCAAGGAGAACACACTGCCGCTGGTCAGGGGAAATTTAGTCAGCTGTGACAGCGTGAACAATGAAGTGATTTACACCAGGTTTTTAACTAGTTTGCTAACTCACAAATTCTTACATTCATGCACATYGTTCAAGACTGTAAGATCATTTGCACTATGCCTCCTATTATGTGGGGCTTTCAGTGCATTTATTAATGCAAATATTAATTCAGACTTGCAAACTCAATTCTCTTTTATGTTTTATGGAATACACCTATCACAGTCTCTGTGGGCATGTACATTCATTTTATAAAAATAACATRTATTAAAATGTAACTAGATGCCTACTCCCACTGCTGCAGACTCCAGGCTGCACAGGGTAAAAATGACTTCGGGTTCTCAGGTATTCAGAAAAAAATTGAGTCGTAGCAGTCCTTCACAGTTAAAGCTTAAATGTGAAGTCTGGTGCAAGAAAGAAATTGATATGAAATATTTTCACAGAAAAGGTTTGGTCCAGGGCATGATGGCAAAGGGATGTTTCCAACATTGGCAAGACCCACCCTATGGTTCTTAATGGAAGATGTCAGACCAGGGCTATAGTTGTTCCTGGAAAAAAAAAAAAACCACTGGGTGAACAGGGAAAAATATTCACTCTAGTGGTCACTGTGAACATAAATTGTCATTAAAGAGTCTGTTCATCTGAAAGGACGTAACAGCTGATGACAGGTCAGTTGTTATACTTGGTGTCCCTGTGAAGCCAAAGGAGTGAGGTAACAGGGTTATGGGGGTGACTTCATTACAAGCTGCTCTGCAACCTCCTGCTGGAAGAAAGAGAGCAGTGGTAAAATAGAGCTTTTGCTGAAAAGGAGCTTTCTCCCGGGCCCAGAGCTCATTCCTACAAGTTTCTGACAGCTTTCCTCCTCCCACCCAACTAAAGGACATGGTAATAAATCTTTGTCAGTAGAAATCCAGTACACCCCTGAGATCAGACCAGCTGTGATTGGTATCATGCACTCTCCCAGGTCACACTGCCACGCTGTGTCTGCAGCCACAGGTCACCTGAAACTCCAACAGGGACTTTCATTCCTCCACCAAAAGGTTCTGCTGCCTGAGCGCTGCCAGCCCCAGCCAGGTGGTTTCWCACAGACATTCCCAATCCAGGACCTGCTTTGGGCAGCAAAAGGGACAACACTGAAAGGGATCCCACGCRGAGGTGGCCTGGGGTCTGCAGGAATTCAGCCTCTGGGGCATGTTTGGGGAATATTTCTGTAGGAGATTCTGAGGTTTGGAGTCTCTTCCAGCATGAGCTTTCCTGTCTGCACTTCTCCATAATTCATTCTTAATAGGTCTATTGTTTCTGAGGAAACTGGGAGGATGGTGCAAAAGGAAAAGGGTTTCAGGAGTTTCGGTGCTCGGTGGGATGAGTCCTGTCTGTGTGTAGAAAGCCTGTGGTAATGTGGGTCGCTGAGCAGTGTCCATGTTTACAAACTCATTTGTCTGTTTACACCAGGCTCAAAATTGGACCCTGCAAGTGTAAATAGGGGGTGGCCACCTCCTGCTTCCTCCAACTCAAACCAGAGAAGCTGAGGTTTTCTTGTTTTTCAAAAGATGCTACAGTCTTTGCACCAAGATTAAAKGGCATTTTTTGTAAGAGGAAAAGGCCTGACCTGCTGCTCTGGGCTACAATTTCCCATCCCTTGCATTGCTGAGCAGTCTGGGCTAAGCCACGTTCCCTCCCCAGATGTGGGTGAATATTAGTGGTGTTGGGTGATTTATGGTTTACTTTGGGATTCTTCAGGGGTAAAGGAGGTGTGTCAATGCAGAAGAGCATGGAAATATTAACTCAGATCAACCTAACTTTGTTCTTGGAGAAACGGTGATCTGAAAGTCTTATGTGCCCTGAAATTGTGGTTTGGAAAATACTGGAGTCAAGGTGTGTGTGTGTGTGTGTGTGTGTGAGTATATGACCTACAGAAATACCTCATCTCACCACTAATTTACTCACACAAGTAATCTTCATTTTTCTTTCAGCTGCCCCAGTTTATTTCCTGTTTCTCCCTCTTTTTCCTCCTCTTGCTTGTTTTGAAAATGCTGGTCAACACATGTTAAGCCAGAGTCTCCAAAACCAACAAAAGAAAGTTCAGGAGAGGCAGTGAGAGAAACAACTGAATAGTGTTGCCAATTTTAAAATGAAGATAAGTTATGCCGGACCTTTTATTGAACCAACGAATRTTTTATAGTGTTCACCATCTGAGGCCAACAGTTGTTGTTTTTTTTTTCTCCCCCTCTGTTTTAAGCTAGAATAGAAGATGTGTAATTCATCAGGAATCTGTACATTTTTAAGTAGCTTCAAAAAATATGACGGCCATGTGAGACCTACTGTGTCTTGACTTCCATGTCCATTTTTTCCYCACTACATAATGTTCTGTACCCTTCCCTCTGTGTCTCATTCCCTCATTCACACATTCTGTTGCTTTCAAGCCATCTTTGCTTTGTCAGTGTTACCTGATAACACAAAGCAGGGTTTAAGGCAGTTGTTGTGGCTCAGCTTGAGCCGGATCCCGCAGTGAGTGCGATGTGGAGGCTGCGTGGTCCGACCTAAGGGGTCAGTGTCACCTTCGCTGTTCCCAGCAGGGCCCTAGGTGAACTTAGTTCCTCATCATGTGATATCCTTAGGTCAGAAYTCTCATATCTAAAGGGTAAAACGTAACTGTAATTAACATTATTTAGCATGCCCCTGAAGTCGTCCAAGTATATAAAAGTTATTAGTCTGGATGCAGTGAACAGTGTCTGAATTGTTCTCAAATATTTGAATGTGCTGCAAGCTCCRTGTAACCTCAGAGCCTTGGTGCGTGGTAAATTGGAGGTACATGAAGCTATTGTGCAGGTTAAGGATGGCTTGCCTGCAAGAACCCTGGGTTTCATTTTCTTTGGCTGGTCCTTTCTGACAGCAGAAGAACAAAGGAAAACATTTTAAATATAAGAGAAATCCTGGAAAATTATATTCTTAAATGCTTTCAAAATGGTCAAAATATTGCCTAGACAGTATTTTGTCTTTAGGCTTCTGAGACTTATTTCCATCTCYGCTAAAATAGGACTGCCTTGCAAGAGAGTTGTCAGGATCAGCCAGTTAATATTTATGAAGAAATTTCATAGGGAAAAAAAATGATGCCATATATATTAATAATTATGTGAGTCCTGAAAAATACCATGCTGTATCACAAAGCTGGAATTGTCTGGTGTCTAGGCTCTTGGCACTATGGCCTACAGTAAACTGTATACTAAAAACTTGTACTAATGGAAAGGTATACAGGATTCCATTGGTAGGTGATTTATAGTGACTTCCTATTATAAACAAGAGGGAACAAATATCCCGCCTTGCTGGTTTCTTTGGGCGGATGTTGAGAGCAGAATGAGACATTCTTGGGCAGGCAAAAGCTGATTCTCTGGATGCTTGCAACTGGGAGCAGAATGAAGCACCAGAAACTGAGGTATAAATGACAAGCCCTAATTTTAAATGATTGAATTTCCATTTTCAGTGTTTAAAACTTTTTGGTTACAGAGAGAATGACCACTGTTTTAAGTAATTTTCAAACCTGTAATAAAAAGGTATTTCTCATGTGTAATATTAAATAGAGTCATCATAGGATCCCAATATATGCTGAAAGCCTACCACCATYCTTTGGCAAGAATCATAATTCTTTTTGAGACAGAACTAAACACTTTCAGCAGCAGCTTCTTTTGGTTTCARTTACTAAATCTGCTATCGAACATTACTGTTTGTTTAGGAAAATTATTTGTGCTGGCCAGTTGTAAGCTGTTGAAATGTATTTATGTCTGTATGTAGTCAGGTAAATGCCATAGTTTACTCTATGGAATGAGTCTTGGGAATGGTGGGGAATAYAAAAATTCATCACGGGTTTATGTATATAAATCAGAATTCATGTAGGTGTTTAAATTTGGGTGACAGCTTTCCTTGATCCAACCAGTGAGAGAGCCACAGTCCTTCAGAAGGGACCAGAGGTGCTGCCAGCAAGGGGTGTGAGATTAAACCACAGAGCTTGGAGAGAACAGCTCTGGTGCAACCTTGGTACCTCACAGAGAGCTGCTTCTCATGTAGTAGAGAGAGGGTCAGGAGCAGAGAGCCCATCAGCACTTGTTCCAGGGTGAGTCCTCAGCTGAGGCTGCTCGGTGAGGTTCAGGATGCTCCATTGTTTTTCCATTCCTTCCATCAGCATTTCTGAAGAGGTTACCCAGCCCCAATGCCATGTCCTTATTGCCTCAAAGATGAAATCTGGGAACATGCTGTGTGATGGTCAAGAAACTTAACACTTTCTATTTTGCAGTTCTTTGATTATGTTCATGAAGCAATCTCACCAAAATGTTGCTTTTACAGCTGAAATATACTTCGCAATTCTTGCACAGATATGTCAAATATCAAAAGCTTTAATTAACATAATTTTTAATTAACAATTGCTGTTTGAGCAGATAGATTACAAAAGATGAAGACAAAAAAAGCAAAATATTGGGCAAGACTCACCATTTGGGGGGGTTTATACATTTGATAGCATTTTGTCATCTATGTTTTTTCTCTGGTCAGTGARGAGCCAGATATGACCAACCCACATTTTTTCCAGGCTGTGCTAAGCCAATAAGGTGGCAGTTATATTACCAGTATACTGAATGTCTGTACATAAATATATAGATATAATATAAATATCTATAAATATATAGATATAAATCATAGATATRCTGAATATCAAAAGGAGAGATACGGTCCTCCCTTCATCCAGCTCTCAGTATATCCACATGGATGATAATGCTGTCCAAAGGAGAAAAGTGTGAGGAAGGGGACACGGAACAGGACTTAGAGATTTGTCTTTGCAGCAGCACTCAGGGACATTGGACTGCAGTGTTAAATAGAATGGCTGAAACCATTTCTGGAGGACATATCTGTTGGTTCTGAATGGAGCTTGGACAAGTAAAGATACAGAGGTACATTATTTGGGTGACAGTTTCATGGCATGTGAAGTGAACCCCACTTTTACTTTGAGGCACATCAAGTTAGTTTGACTGGGTAGATGTCAAGGAGAGCAGAAGGAAAGGYCTTTGTCTTGCTCAACATGGTTATCCCCAGCCAAAAAAAAAAGATGGTAATACTTATTTCTCTTGCTAAGGGCTGTTCAGACCCATGGGAGCTGCTTGGWTGCTGTGGTAGTGCAAAATGGAATATGCTGTCAGAGGTTTGGTACAGCAGAAAAGGATTTGTGGCAAGAAAAAGGGGGCCTGTGCTTTGAAATGAGGAATTTTCAGACTCATTGTACTAACATGCTTTGAGTGCAATTGTTAGCAAGAGCTTTGCAAATTACCAGTGATGGTTTTATTGTAACCCAGTTTTGAGTTTCTTTGACATAAACTGTTTGAAATAAAACAAAAACCTGAACAACAGAGTAAGAAAATATGTGTGATTCAGGAAAAATCTTTAGCAAAGTTAGGGAATGGGCAGCTTCTCCTGGATTTAATTTTTTAGCYTTGCTACTGCTTTTATATATCATGGGCAAGATGCTTTCTTTTAGAGCTGGCTAAACACCAGCAAAAAGTATTTGCAAATACTCCTTCAAATAAACGCTGGAATTGGAATGTGTGTCACCATTCACACCTACTTCCCTCAGAAGTTTGTACAAGCAATTTTTTTGTTCATAGGAAATATTTTCCAACAGCAAAAGAAACTGAGAGATGCTTGAGAGAGGTATATTTATATCCAGGTTTGCTCTGGCAATGATGTTCTCTATTACTTGCCATTTCCATTTCTATACCTACYGACCTATCCAGTCCTAAACTTCTTGAAAACTGTCTCTAATTAAAAAAAAACCCAAAAAAACAATGAAGTAGGGCTTAAGAATTCTTCATAGTCAAGTAAAGAACGAAGAACACTTTTTGTGTCATTCAGTGCCTCTTTCTCAATCAAATGTTTCTTTTTTCCTTGGSTCCTTGTCCTCTGTACAGGCTGGACTTCCCCCTCTTGAATCCCATTCAAGCATTGCTCTAGGAGAGCTTACGAAATCCTGATTTAAGACGTGCGTTTTTGGAACAAAACTTAAACCTTGGTCACCTGTGAACATTTATTTATAAAGCTGTTTTGCAGAAGGATGGAGGCCTGCTAGATCAAGCAGTTTGGCGAACAGCTGATCTCTGAAAACACAGCTGGTCTCCCTGCATTTCTGTAGTGGGACTGTGGTCTCCAGCAGTCACCTCCAAGGACTGGGCAGTGCAGCTGAGATGAATTATTGGCTGTAGGAAATGATGGGCTGCTGGGCTGTGGTAGGCAAGGTGGATGGCTACCAAGGGTTATTCCACTGGAAGCTCTGTTTAAAGACAAGATCAGTTTTTAATTAATAAKCTGATGGAAATCTAGCAAAAAGTTTGATTTGTATTTGGGAATCTGGCCTCACGAAGATGTGCATTACTTTATGAGATTTATGTTGTGTTTAGAGGCTTTTGGGATCTTGTAGCCATTAGTGCTCATGCCATTGCTGTTTCTTTTGTTTGACTTGTTTTCCATAGGTATTGCAGTTGGGCATCCACTTCTTGCTCCTCTGTAATGCATTTCTGTGTCAGGATAGCAAACCCACTGAATAAAGCTTATACATTCCTGCCTGGTAAATATTTCTGGCTTCTCTGGGACATGAGGACTTAGTGAATGAATAAATGTGACTCCTGATGAGGAAGTGTAATTTGTGCCTGTGAAGCAATTTCATCTTTGAGGGCTGTTGACCAGGTGTGCTTGTTGCTTGTCTCCCTCTCAGCTGCCTCTGYGACTGAGGCGTTGCCTGGACGAGGGCGCATTAAAACCCACACACATCATGTGTGCATGGGTGAGAGTCTTATTTTTAGTGCATACTAGAAGGTATTCACTGAAGCACAATGAGGCTGATTTTCATTTGTAGGTTTTGCAATGCCTTATGTCCTTATGTATTTATGTTTTGAAAAACTGTTCTATTACCCTGAAAAATGTAGGTGAACCTTCAAGAACAGCTACACCTTCAGTGTAGCTCTCTCCAGRCAGATGCCTGCATAAAGCTGGTCCTTCGTATGTGTCAAAGGAAAGATTTTATTTTAAATCTGGTATCAATTTTGGAACAAATCTTGGGTTATTTTTCAATAYGCCTATCTCCTGAACATGCTTGTTTTTAAAACTATTATAATGAAACAGACATTTTTTTTTTTCCTGTTTTCAGAAAATCTGGAGAACGGACCAAATAAGTGTGAAAGGTGAGTAAGAGACTTCACAGTTGCCCAAAACTATTTAACAGTTGTCCTGATACCATGTAGCTATGTMAGATGTGTGTGTAAATATTTGTTATTGCTTGAATCTAGCACAGCTAACAGAAAGGGATCCAGCAAAGATGAAACGTACTGGAAGGAGATCAACGCAGCTATGGCCCTAACAAACCTTGCCCAGGGGAAGGATAAACTGCAGGGAACTACCAGCTGCATCATTCAGAAATCATCACATATATCAGAAGTAAAGACTGTTAAAGTGCCATTAGTTCAGCAGTTTTAAGAGATGGGTCCTCTTTCTTTTTCACATCCAACAGGTGTTTTCCTCACTGGATTGGTTTTCAGCAAAATCTGATTCGCAGATATGAGGAAAATATGGAAAGTAGATCTCTTTTTACAGAATGGTCAGTTAAAAAATTAAGGTCCCTTCTGACTCAGATGTTTCCATTGTGTTAAATGAAATGTTCAATTGCTTCTATAAAAGGCATGTAAATTATAAAAACCCTGTTTTTATCAAAACATTAACTTATTTTATGTTAATCAAAGTGCGCATAAGATGTTTGCATTGCTATTACAGTAAGTGCCTTGCTTTGAAAAAATAAGCTATAACGTGGGCATAGTACAACAGTGTTATGCCTCAAAATGACAATGCCATAATGCTTAAACTTTGTATATTATTCCAAGTGGGCTTAAGCAGCCGAGGGCTAAACACATTACTGCTGAAGGCCCTGGAGAGTTGTGCTTATTTGACTTGTACAAATTGATGAGTCTTAATGAAATTGTTACATCATTCTCACTCTTTTTTTTTAATCAACAGTGTTATGAAAATTGTACAGTATGTTTTGTCAAAGTGACGATAAGGTTGTTATGCATGTTTCTTACCTGTATATGCAGTATATTAAAATACCAAAACCATTCCTTTGAAAAGTGCAATACTCTAGAACACACAAATTTAGGAAATAAGTTAATTGTTCAGATTATTTTGAACTTATACATACGCTCTCAGCTGTGTTGCTCATTAAAGATTTCTAGTTGAGAAGGTTTTAGCCAGACTAGCTGTAAATTCAAGTTGAATTTCTATAATTTTAAAGCTTTACTAGTGACTTACTAAAGTTTTGATAGAAGTAACATTTGTTTCTGCTTGTACAAAACTAAAACTATAGTGCCATTCAGAAATGTTTCCATGGTGGAACTTATTACTTTAATGTCGTTTAAACATTTTTATTTTGTATGTACTGCATAAATGAGGACAGTTGATTGACATTTCACATTWTAGCAAGAAAAACCTATAATATAAACTATCAAGGCCCAAACAAGAATCAMAAAGGGAACTGAAACATTGAAAAATCTCAGAATTTAAGGCAGGAGGGTTTTAAGAAGATACTAAACCATGCATTAAATGTCATGTCTCTAAAATTGACTGCTATTGAGTGTAATAGCTACCATAAAAACAGGTTTATTTTAAAATTTTATCTGGAGGTGTACAAGTTATTCTTAAGTCATGTAACAATAGTCTAATGAGGTTTACAGTGCTTGAATAAACAGTGGTAAAGCCAAAACCAATTTATACTGAATSAGTTACAGAAAACTGGAAAAGAGCTGATTGTTGTTAGGATTTGGATTTTTTCCTGTGGGTATCCTGACAGGATTTTTCCTACTTATCCCTTTCCTTGCTTCTCTTTATGGTGARCCATCAGTGAACAAGACAAGACTTTAGTTCTGCTCCTGCTGAGTTTAATGGCAGAACTCCCMCATCAATGGAAGCAGGACTATGCTAATGACAAAACTAACTTACAAATAGAGGCTGTTTCAGTTGCACTAAAATAGTCAAGAGACATTGCAAATATCAGCCTTGGTGTGACTTCTTAGGAAACGTCTTGATGTAACATAACGTTGTTGGTTTTATTTAGTGTACAATGAAAATTATTTGATATGAAAATATTTTGTACATATATATTTTTACTTTGTTTTCTAAATTGCTGATTTGCATTGACTTAAAGTGCCAAGCAAGAAATGTATGTTGTGACTGTATGAACAGTTGAAGTATGTTTTACTGACTTGCATCATTATATGTCTAAGATTCCATGACATTAATTTTTAATACTTTACTGGATTTTGGCATAATAATGTGAGTTTATAACTAATAGCAGAGAGTTAATACTTCACTTTTGTTCATACTATTATAAGTTATTCTGGTCTTAAATATTTTGTGACAATAAATTCATGGTTTTGACAAACTCTTCTGTTAGAAATATTCAGTGTTTTTGTGACAACAAAATTTGTCATGTAAAAAGGGTACTTGTGGGGACTTCTCTGAAGTAAAAATGGAGAAGGCAAGCCATTGTAAAAACAACTTGTTAATGGTTCTCTTTTCCAATGATCAAAGCACAAAAATAATCTGTAAAACACATCAAGTGGGTTTTAAATTTAAGAAATACTTGGCCTAATTTCTTGTTACTGTTTCCTTTAATTTATTTTTTTTCTACTGCTGCTTTAGAGTTTTCTGAAAACACAAATTCTGATGAATTATGTGTGTGTCTTTTTTAAATAATGAAAGTCATGATCAGTGCTGAGCCAACAGCTAATGAAAACTCAATAATTATTTATGATATTGGAAAAACAAACATTATTACTATTGCTCTTCTTTGTTTCRACATATGTAACCATTTTAGTAAAATAAATAACTGCAAACAACATCTTTCTGGTTTGAATTAAACATTCATTTATCTGTCCTTAGGCATTTGGATTTCTGGTTTCCTATAATAGTCAGGGTTTCCCTGTACTGGGACACAAGCATGTGACAGGCAAAGATGAAACAGAAAAATTAGTCTTATCACTACACCTTGTAGGTGTGTGAAGTAGTTTAGTTCATCCCAGATTAATGACTGAAGCAAGATTTGGGTGATGGCTGCTAAAGACAACATGGCATGATGCTTATAAATCATCCACACTGGAGGAGTGCAGGGGGAAGCCATAGCTAATGACTGGCCTGAGTCACTGGAGAAAGTCCATTAGCTGGGAAAGACTTTGGTCACTTAGGTTTTTTTGGGAATACAGGCTACATTTGCCTACATTACTGTGTGTGCATGCTGGGCTGTGGAACCTTGGTGGAGAAGATGCAATCAGCCCGTCCAGAAGCTCAGGGCTCATAGCAGAGAGCCCAGGGCAAGTGACCTCCTAACTTTTATGCCTTGGCAAAGCTTCTCTGCTTGCATGGATGGAGTGATACCTGAGTCTTGTGGGCAATCAGCACACTTCCAGGTTTTATGTCCTGCTGATTTTTTTTTATTTATGTGTACTGCTGCACACCTCTGGCCATTCAACATGTCAGTGGAGACCTGGAAATTCAGCTGATACTTGAGTTCCTGAGGGACTGTGTGCAGCCTGACTTTTGCTGTTGGGAATGTGTAAAARTGCCCACATCTTAATGATGCTGAGCTGCTTGGCACCTACTTTGTACCTGAGTCTGACTTAAAGAAACCAACTCAGTCTGCTCCCATCTGCTCTGTCACATCCTTTGACAGAGCTGAACACTCAAACTTACAAACCACTGAGTAAGGAGAGCTCCAATTTCCAATCCAATAGTTAGAATATACATTGGGCCAGGATGGCAGTCTCATCTCTAAGCATGACACAACTGCGGCAACCACTGAGCTATAATTCTCACTTTGTATCCTCATATCCTCCACTGGTGTCCTGTGTATAGATATGTATCCCAGGTGAATCATTCCACCATGGAGACTGAGAGCAAGTCCCAGGACAACACACAAGCATTTTAAGGACATTTGATAACTTGGTGGTTTAAGTTTTAACTTGGAGTTTGCCAAAGGATGGYAGCTGGTGTGAAATAATCCCTGCACCATGAGCTAGAAGGGAGAGATGGGGAAGGACGTTGAAGGAGGTTGATGTTTGTACTGTGAAAGGAAGAATGGATTTAGCTTTGGCTATGAGAAAGGCTACGTGGGCTTAAACCCATTTCTTCATTATCTCTTTTCTCAGATAGATTTTCATTATGGTCCCTGGCTTTGATGAATTATGTTTTTATCCACCTAAATTAGCCATCAGTGGAGATCAACAACACCAAATATCAGATGCTGTTACAGGAAGCAGCTTTGATTATAAAAATAATAATGAGCTTCTGAATTCACTGTACTCTTAATGCTCAGAGAATCCTTCTTTGCACTCCCTGTGTCATCCCCAGCAATAGCAGAGAGAGTAGGAATAGTTTTGCATTACTCAAAAGGGGCACCAGAGAAAGGACTTGGTGGCTGCCCTGTAGGATGCTCTGAAGTGCCAGGGAGTGGTGAACAAGGAATTACTGGAATGAGGAATCACTCAGGACCAGTCAGGGAGTATGTCACTAGGGCACAATTCACCCTGCCTACAAAGGCACTGCCAAGTAGTGGGACTGCAGCCACCAAGCTCAGATCCTCCTTCAGGAATCCTTCCAGAGGCTTTCAGGTTCCATCATGCCTCAATATCTTTCAGTCTTGCATAAATCCTGGACCATATTCYGACATGGCTTCTAAGGGCTGGAGAAGATGGTTGTATCCACTGGTGATTCYCCTGTGTGGGGCTGAAGATGAGAGTAAATGTGTTTAGTTATCCAGCTTTCCAAATCTGCAGAAAAGCTTCTATAAACAGAGCTTCACCAGGGCTGTACAAGTCTTATTCACAATTTTTGCATTCAGAAGAACACTGAGGACCTCGGAGCAGTCCTGGCAGAGCTGTTATCCCAGTACTGCCAGGAAAGAGAAACAGAACAGCAAAGCTTGCCACTGCTCCTGGCACTACCTCAGATGCCCTCTTGCTGTGTGGCAAAGGGGAGGGTGCAGCTGTTTCTATCATGTTTGACTTTCACAGAATCACAGAATCCYGGAATAAGCTAAGTTGGAAGGGACCCACAAGGGTGGAATCCAGCTCCCATCCCTGCCCAGCACCATTCCCAAGAATCACACCATGTGCCCRAAAGCATTGTCCAAACACTTCTTGAACTCGGTCAGACTTTGTGCTGATCACAGCTGACTGTGTTGTCTTTCAGGTGTTTTTCAGTACCTCCCAGAATAATCTCCTTAGTTTTATCAGGCACTAAAGTGAGACTGACAGGTCTGTAGTTTCCAGGGTCCTCTTCTTGAAAATAAGGATGATGTCTGCCAGCTTCTAATTAGTTGGAATCTCTCCAGGTTCCCAAGACTGCTCAAAAATCATTATGAGAGGTTTTGCARTGACACCAGCCAGCTATTTGAGGATTCTTGGATGTATCCCMTCAGATCYCATAGATCTGTAGCATCCAGTTGGAGAAGCAAATCCTGCACAGTTTCRGGGTCAACTGGGAACTGATCATTGTTGAAATCAGGGTCCTCCAGCTCAGGGCACTGAGAGCCCCTTGATCCATCATCCATGTTGAAGACARGRGCAAAGAAAACRTTAGGCATCCTACCTTSTYCATGTCYCTCCCTGCTTGTGAGGTGAACATACTCATTCTCTTATTGCAGTGATTTTCTCACACAAACCAGCTTTTCTGGCTGTGAAACCCCATTTTCTGCTACAAAACCTTCAACACGAATGTTCTTCCATTCAGCCCTTGGTCTTAAACCTGAACCTGGTGCTTGAAGGAAAATAGAGCCTGGACTTGGCTCAGACTGAGACCAGATCCCTCAGTGCTCCACAACCAGCTCTGAAGTCCAGTGAGCACCCATTCAGTGATCACAGTGACAGCTTTAAGCATGACAGCCCTCTGCTCTCATTGCTGTGCTTCTATGAGTCTGAGAGACTCTTGGAAAATCAGAAAGAACCTCAAAGATTTTTAGGCTCCTAACTTAACAAATCAAAACACTTCTGAAGGTCTGAGGGCCAAGTCATGTTTCCATGGCCAAGTGCAGGCAGTTACATGCCTACTCTGAGCCAGCYGGACAGAAACGTGGGTAACCAAGTTTGGCATCAAACCTGAGCCACTATGTCAAGGTCCCCTGTAGAGCATGAACTGGTCTTAGTGTGGTGCGAATATGTCTGTGCAGCACTGGGGTCATTGATTGTTCTGTCTTGTTCACAATGTCCACACATTTCTTGGTGCTTCGGCGCAGTATTTYGAAGAGGACAATGACACAGCTTTGTGTGGCTGGGCTGTTGGGTGGAGGAGGACGTTGGCACTTGGAAGCTGCTGTGTTGCCATCCCTGCCCAGCCTGGTCAGGTAGGGCAGGAAAGGGAAATGAAGCATGATGCAAGGGGCTGCAYTGCCTGAGAGAACGGCACTGACACATTGCAAGAGAGGCTGCAGGAATCCAGCCTTGATGCCAGTTCATGTTTTACGAGCTGGTTTGCAGTGCCTGGGTGTGCTTGATTCTCATTAGCAGCTGAATTG